TTCTTGTCACTGAGATTAGTAGAGAGCAACATTTACCACCCCTCAATAAGTAAAAATTGGTGCACGACTGAGAAGCCACTTTTTTCTTTACCGAACAAAAGAAAGAATAAAAATTGATATTTACTGGTCCAACAGGAGAAATATTTCACATGGAAAGATAATCAAGCATTTCAAACATCTTAAATTCCACACTCAGATTCCATTTGGGAGTTGGATGAGGCACCTGATAGATTTTGATAGGACAAGACCTGCTTATAATTCTGCTCAAAAAGCGCAGAACCCACTAGAAGATTTTCATTAACTTACATGTTTGCAGGCAGGAGGAGGAAGCAGGTGATTTTTAAGGTGCTTCTAACAACTAAATTTATTATCTTCACTGGAGCGGATCATAAACTGACCTCCTTGTCTCTAAATGTATGAGGTGTTGTTCAGTAACTTTGTTTTTCACTGTTATAAAGTTTTGCAAAAAGTTGTATTGCAATAATCTTGTAATTCTGAATTTAAAAGAAAAACCAACAAAGCAAAAAACCCCTGAAGAGATGCTTAACAAAGCCTGTGTAGAACCTGCTAGTATCTCACCATTCTTGCCCATGCTGGTATTTCATTTCTAGGCAGCTATTGAATTGTCTTACTGAATAATTAAGTGGTGTTACAATAGGCTTTTGAAGACTATTCAAGAATGGAGGGGTCACAAGAAAGAGAAAGATGTGATTTTGGCTGATTCTTTGTTTCAAAAGTTAATAAAATTTTAAAGTATTCAGTATTTCACACCCCCAGCTTTAAATAGGATTTTGTACACAGAAATGCGTTACTGAGTTTAAATGTATTTTTGAGTTTATTTTCTGCAGTAGATAGATAAACTAAGTACTGTATTTGTGGAGTCACAAACTGTCTGTCAATGTATTGGATCCTTACCCTCTTTGGAAAATTTTAATTCTCTCTATGTTCTAGCAATGGAGTTTTACAGCATGAAAATTATAAAATTGCCACAGTATAAAAATATTTGCTGTTTCCTTTGTTAACATTCATGATACTGAGCAAATAGTAACAGTAAAAGTTATATTTTTGTTTTCATGCTATTTATTACAAATAATTTATTTCAACTAAGCATTAGAGAGAAGTTAGTCAGGGAGCCAAAACCCAAAAGACACGTAGTACCTCTACCAAATTACTGTTGATCATTTAACATCTTTGTGGGCTGTGTGAAATACAGATGTATTACCCCGACCGACAGGAAGAATGAGCTGCAAGGATTTTCTGATTAGGAAATTCCAAATGCAGTATATGAGGGTCTCATTTTTCTTTTGGCATTTCCTAATTCATCGTCATCACCATAATAACATTTTCACGCCAATAAAATTGTCCATAAAAGAACCTTCATGGGAAAAAAAAAATAGTATTCTCAGCCTGGACTTAATTTAAAGTGTTCATCCCTTTAAGAATAAAAAGAAAATTATGTGCTGACTTGTGCAGTTCTGCTCTTATTTAAGACCTGGTCCTCAGTGCAGTATTCAGCCTAACTGTATTGGTATTGGGCAGGCAAGTTTTTCCAGGCAACTGATTATGGTAGAAATTGTGTTAGATTGTCTAGTGCCAAATCAGAAGTGGCCACTGAAAGTGGTCCCAGATGACGTATCTGCCCCCCATCTTTTTGTCACGTGTATACTGTAATCTGCCTCGGATTCTGGTTTCACTGCTGTGTGCAGGATTTGCCTCAGAGAATGGTATGAAAGATGAATCAAAGTAGTGTTGGGCTCAAGATTCAGTGGTGGAAGAGCCAGTTCAGGCCAAATTTGAGATGGACTCTATTACAGGCAGGTGAAGACAGCAACTGATAAAGCTGCTGCATCCCTCAGGCCTGAGTTCTGACATCGTGCAGCTTAGAAGGTTTTTTGAATTTTCTGACTCTGACAGAGTCATACGGTCTAACACTTTGGCTGTATATTTTATGTGTTACTTGAGTAAAGACAGTCTGTCTTGGATATGTAAGGAAATGTGTGTGTTTAAGGTGGGAAAGAGAGGAGAATGAGCCTCACCTCTTAGGAATATGTCAGAGCCTGCTGCCCCACTTAGTTGAATAATTTCCTCCTAATGTTTCCTGCAGTTGTTACTGCCAGTTCAGCCCATGTAATTGGGTGGGATGGTAGCTTCTATTTGTGTTTTTTTCTTTTAAGCAACAGTTCCCTAACACTGGCTGTATGAGCATTGCCATCAGCCTCACTGTAAGAGCTGAACTAACACCAACAGTTGTGGGGAGACTTCTAGAGAAAATTACAGGTGGACTGGAGGCAAAAAATTACTACAAGTCCTTTGGGAGAACATGGGGACTGGAGAAATATAGGGTAAGATGAAAGAAGCATGAAAAACACAAGTTTCTTAGCTTTCCTGCTTCCCTTGAAACAGAGTGACAGAAACGGTTTTATTTTAAAATAGGAGAGAATTCTTTTAGGATAGAAAAGATGTATTGGACAAGCAATGGAATTAAAAATGAGGAATAAGTTCACGTCAGATAAGCGTTTTGATTTTATTCCTGGAGATTTGGGACTAGTTTTTTAATTCTCCAGCGATTGCTTTGCAAGCTTCTTGGAAGGAAATACAAGTAATTGAAAGCTAAATCATAGACTGTTTTGAAAGAGAGAGGGAGCTTAACTTTTATGCAGAGAAATGTGTAAGCCAAAATGAGGAAGTAGAGGGGGAAGATGGAGTTGAAAAACAGCATTTCAGGCTAGTTAATGGAAGGAAGTGCTGAGGGATGGAAGGAGAGGCACTAGCAAGTGCAAGGCACAATTAGCAAGTTCAACTAAACATTTGGAATAAGTATTTTCTGTATGTTTTCTTATATTACAAAAATGCACCTAATTCTTTTCTCAGCTAACACAGCTCATTTCACTTATCAAAATTTGAAATAAATATGCATGTTTCCAAAGTAGATATTTTCAATAAATATACAAAACGTAAATGTGGATTTAAGACCCTAACTCTAGCTCTTTAATACCTCTTTTTGTGACTTTTACTGCCTGCCATAAAAAGATGATTCATGAATTCCCTCTTTCTTCTCGTTGTCCTTTGTGAATTATAAAGAAGCCACTTCTTTGCTGCAGTTTATAACTGCTGTATAGTTGGTGAAGATAATTGGCAAAGGCAGATAGTTTTCGCAGAACACTGGAGCTCAGTAGGACCCTGAAACTAAACTTTGCTTACCTGCAGAGAGCCAGGGCAATGTTTATTGTCAGACAGGACGTATACATTTTGACACCGCATAAACAGGAGTTACTAGTCTTCTGTTAGAGCTGTGTGTTTTCAATAGCTACTGCAGAGCTAGCTGTAAAGAGTAGCTTAAGATAAGATGAAAAGTCATCAGTTCAGAGTTCAGAAGAGATCATTACCTTCAAGGACAGGAACAGCTGAATTTGTTAAGACACTGCTTTATGCCTGAAGCACTTCACTTGGACTGACAATCTTTTATCACAAGCAAAGTAGGCCAATTACAGGGTGATAGAGTGCCACGTTTCCTATCTCAGTTCATATACTAGTTTTGCATGGTTGCCCGCTGAGAACATAAAGCTATCGTAGCATACATCTTCATTAAACAAAATGCCCAGGTCTTGTAATTCCTGTATTAGGCAGATAATGAATATTGTCAGTGTTTTAGGTGAATTAAAGCAAACTACTCAATAGTGAAACAATTTTTCTTTAATATTGCAGTAAGGAAAGTTTTTGCATCATTTTGCATGTGTTCTACTTTTCTTCAGTGTATAAGAAGAATTTTAGAATGAGGCTTTGACAAGTTAGACTAACTTGCAAGGCCACTGAGACTTCTGAAGAAGTTATGGATACCGTGTCAGGAAGGTTCCCTCTTCCTTCTCCCCATGCTTCTAAAACAGTCTGAAGCTTTGGGTGCCTCTACTATGTTAACAATGTGCATAATCTCTCATTTCAATTTTTTCCCCTTTTCTGAATATGTATTTCTGCCTATGCTTGTAGAAAAATGAAGAACTTATGCTCCTTTTCACTGTGGAAAATGGGATTGAATTAAACCTGATTTTAGAAGAAAATAATAGTTTATTTCTGTCAGTAGCGTGCTGCTGTCATATGTAAATCTCAGACAATTTGATACTGAATGCATTTGAGATATTACACATGAAGTTCAAAATTTCCTATTATTTTACAGTAGTCTCTCAGAATTGTACTGCCTTTTTTTTTTTAATCCCCTGCAAGTATAAATCTATAATCAGAGGAAAACCTGGAAAAAATCATAAAGGAAATGACGCAATATGTATCATCTTAAGTAAAACAAACTTTTTTTATGTTGCATGGATCTTTTTTCCCTAGTTGAAAAATCTGCATGGATGTGGTTCTCAACAGTGTGAAATTTCTGTTATATAGGTAAAACTACTGCCTTTTCAATTTCAAGTAAATTCTCACTGCTAGTAGACAAGTACTTGGTCATTTTATTTTTGTCATCTTTTAGTGTTGTCTTAGGTCTTTTAGCATATGTTTCTAGATCTTACAAGGAGAAACAAGTTTTAAAACTGCATCTGAACGATTACAAAAGCAAAAAGAAATAGTACTTCTACCAAATCACCTAAGCAAGTTTTCTGTAAAACTAAATACAACTAAGAGAGAAGGTGAACGTGGCTTTCCACAGCAAATTTCTGTGTGTCTGTTTAAACAAGCAGTACTGTTATTTCTGCTAAGAATTTCCAAAGGAATAAAATCATCTCTCAAGATTGATAAACAGCAATAGATAAAATAACAAGTGATGTGCTCAAAGGGGTACAGTTTAAATGGAGAAAATCTAATGGGAAATATCTACATTAGTAGCAGATGGATTTACTTCCCGAATCTTGATCTGAGTGGAAATCCTAGCTTACTTAAAATTTGTCTTCCAGATTCTTAGCCTGATAAGAAGGGTGGATAAAGCAATTTATTTACTTGGCTTCAATGCTGTGATGATGTGTTTTGTTTAAACTAGCTATTGTTGTTTGATTTTTATCTAGGCTATCTTTATGATTCCTACAAATCCCCCTCCAACCTTCCGGAAGCCAGAGCTCTGGTCTGATGAATTCACAGATTTTGTGAAGAAATGCTTAGTGAAAAATCCTGAACAAAGAGCTACAGCAACACAGCTGCTACAGGTCAGTATTTAAGTTACTGAGGAAATGCAAGTTTTATGACTTTCTTTTTTCTAGTCTCAAAGCAGAACTGTTGTGAAAATTTCTAAGGGCAAATCTCATTTTAACTATCATCATGCCCCTACTTCTTTTCCACTTTGTGGTCTTTCCTCTGGCAGCTCCTCTTTCTCTACCCCCAATTTATTTCTCCTTTGCTGCTTCTAAAGATTAATTGCACTTCATATAGTTAGGACTGGTTCTTGCTATTAAAATTGGATCTGCACTTTGTGGTTAGAGGTCCTCAATAGATCTTGGGATTTAGGCAAGTGTTGAGTAAGGGAAGGGAGAGCCCAGTTTACCCCTCCATGTGGACCACCCATGGTGGATATACGGTCTTTCCTTCTGGTCAGGTCAAATGAAGCAGACAGGTTGCTCTGTGTCCTGGAAGGGTCTGATGCGGATGGATGCTATAAGGAGTTTGTTCTTGGACTGAGTTTTATCAAGTGGGCACTTCTAAATTGGAGCCATAGTCGGGGGTGTGGACCTACGGAGCCAGGCCAGGGCATGCCACGCTGTTGCTGACCTCAACTTCTAGTGGCTGCAAAAATTTAACAGTTGCATTAGTTTTGGTGCTGAGATAGAAGTAAAACAGAGAAGTGTCAAAGAACTACAAAAACCCATCAGGAAGGACTGATCGATCAAGAAAGATTTAGTCTTTGAGAAAGGGATGTGATTTACAGGGGCCTTACATTTTAGTGCATGGAGGAAAGAGAAAACACAAATTCTTCTCCTTTGACCCCGTATTTGGGTTATCCACTGCCTTCAGGGCTGTCATAATAAGCCTGCAAGTAACTATGGAAAAAAAGAAAAAAGAACAAAGGTAGTGGATGGGGAGTGTGTGGGATTTCTAGAAAAATTATAGTATGTTCTATGATGATTGAAATGAAATCTAAGATTTCCTGTAAATAAACTTGCTTTGGTAATGAGACAGAAGTGCAACATTTGCTAAGTGCGTTGCTTGTTTTACTTTCCTAATTCCTAATTAATTAAACTTTTGGATAACTCAGTGTTCTTTTATATTTCTCATTGCTATTGGTAGATATTATTCTTAATTTTTTTTTTAATTCAATCTCCCTAAGAATCTGATCCTCTGAAATTTCATCTGTAGGATGTTCATGCTAGATTTATTGTGTCTCTAACTAGCAGTAGACTTTTTTAAAATTTAAATTCCAGTGAACTCCACTATGAGAACAAAAATTTTGCAAACTGGTTTGCAGTAATAGATCATCAAATTCCTAAGTCATGTTATGAATATTTTCACACTGCGATGACACCAAAATGTAGACTGCAACGAGAGTAAAGACTGAAAGTTACAGGTTTTTGTATGATGTATGAGTCAGTACTTGAGGCCTTAAAGATCCGAAGTTCATACAGTTAGGTGAATACCAGCAGCTGGATAGAAGGGACTTACATTGGTGTGTGCAAGTAAGAAAAGGAGGGGGGAAAAAAGTGCTTCTGTTCCTCTTTCCATGTGCTTACTGGCCAGGAAAAAAACATACTATGTCCAGTGTGAGTTTGTGTTGCCTCTTCCCCCACCTGGAGTTTGGAGCGTGTGCGATGGAGCTGGAGGTGCTGCAGGGGTGTGTGAGTGGGAATCAAAGTACTGCTTGTGGGGAAAGACCACGGAAGAAAAAGGAGAGTAATTGAGTGAATATATCACGGGAGAAGACAGCTAATAGGTGCAGGATACTAGGCTTCATAAAGTATATTCTTCATTGGACAATTTTTAAATATTAGATAATGTATTTCTGAGGTGTTTAGAGTTATGTTTTGCCTCATTTGTGTTTGCATATAATGATGCAAAAATCAGAATTTTTCTAACAGATGTTTACTAGGTGTTTACCAGAAAGCAAAATGACAGTAAATTGTATTGTGCACATATTGTCTTAAAGGAAGAAGTGATTTTTTTAAATGGCCTTGAATTAAAAATTAATCTTCCTGCTAAAACTAGGATATTGTTTTGCTTGTTTCACATTTCAGCATCATAGATCAAGGAATGTTTTATGACATATAAAGTAAAATTTTGTTGAAGGAGGCAGCTAGATTTGCTCTGCCTAGAGCCACTAATTTATGCTGTCAGTTTGTTAAGATTAATTAAATTCTGTAACTGAATATCTGAAAAAGTTTGTTTTCTAATGTCAGACAATCACCACTATTTATTTACTACTTACTGGACATTTCCTTTGGAAAATTATATCCTTAACTATAAACCAATTGTTATGTGATTATATTTCCCAAGACTTGCTGTTATGAAAATAGTTAAAGTAAAATTTTAGTTATGAAGCAGCTAAGAGATATTGTATGTTGTGTTAGTGTAGACTTTTAATTATTCTGTAATGTGAAATACTTTTTATCAATGAAATCTGTGATGTCAACTGATACTTGTAATTGCATCTGAAGTGTAACTATGGTAATGATGTTACATAATTTAATGCTTTTTTTTCTAGCATACATTTATTAAGAATGCCAAGCCAGTTTCAATTTTAAGGGACCTGATCACTGAAGCTATGGAGATTAAAGCAAAGCGACATGAGGAACAGCAGAGAGAACTAGAAGAGGAAGAAGAAAATTCGGTGTGTACTTTTTTTTTACTATAGCTATCTGTACGTACAGATAAGTTTCTGTTTTCCCCCTACTTCTTGTACTTGTGTTCAAATACTTTTCTTTACCAGGTTTCTACGTGTTTTTCAGCCTAGGAGGACTAAGTAGTCCACTCTTATTTATGATGAGTAATGCTGCTGTGAGTAATGCCATATGAGCCAGCTTTCAGCACCATTCCATGAGATGTCCCAGTAAAAAGTTTTTTTAGGAGGTGGGAAAAGAAACCATGTCAACTTCAGCTATTCAGACTAACATAAAAAACCCAAACATGCCAAAACTGTTAAGGTTCCACTTTCACATGTGGGCTTCTAGACAAGTGGTTTTATTTTCAGTTCAGGGCACTTTAGTAGCTTTTTTTTTCTTTGAGTTTTTCTTCTTTTCTTTTAAAGTTTCATACACAGCGTAGTTAGTTATGATGCACAGTAAGTAGTGCTTACAATATGCTTTGAATCAAGTTGTGCCTATAAAGTGAAAATGGTGGCAGCATTTCATTCTTCAGATGGCTTTGACAGCATATGTTTGAGGAGAGGGACAGGTCGTGTGATGAATAGGTTGCATTTAGAATTGTTTGGCAATGTTAGGAGTAAGTCAGTGCTTCTGGCATTATTACTCTCCCTATGCAATTTATTTTAGGGCAGTCTTGTGCAATGCAGCAGTATGTGCTTCAAAGAAGTGTATTGCCACACATACAATGAGAACCAAGGTCATTCAGAAATAACAGAGAAGATGGGAGACTGGAATGTCAGTAGAAATCTCACAGCTTTGAGCAAACAGAAGAGAGCAGTGCACTAATGCAGTCTGCCCTAACCCGAATTGTAGAGTCCTTGTTACATGTTAAGAGTGTTAGATGATGATCTATGTACAGGAATACTTTTCAAGCTGATTCTGTGGAGTGTTTTGCATCCTAACAGACAATATGGTCTTTTGTTTGATGGATATCTTTCCATTCTGAGAGTATTGATAGCTTGTGTTTATAAAGATGGTTTACTCTGAATTCTATTTGCTTAGTCAGTAATAAAACAGGCAGGGAAGGTTGGGATTGTTTTTTTTACATTAGGAAATGTTGTGTATGTGGAGATATGTGACTTCACTTGCAGAGTTGATGTTTGTGACTTGATATATTGAATAGTTGATCTCTGAAGAGACTGATTTATTAACAACATAAAACCTTAAATGTCTTCACTGGCATGCTTTCCTCCCTACTATTGCCTCCTGAACTGCAGACCTCAAACACTCAGGCGTTGTTGATGTCTTTTGCATTAACCCAAAATTAGGTATGACATCTGATTACTTAGCCTGAGGTTCAGATGGGGAATCAAATTGCCAGTTCACTATGTGGTGCACACCTTCCCTTTCCTACTACTGGGTGGAACGGTGCAACCGTTATTTGGTACACCTCAGCTGCATTTAGCAACTCCTCATGCTTCTTCCAGGGGTACAGAAGTCAGAATGTAACATTGCACTTTCCTTGTCCTCACTCCCCTTCTCCCTCACCCTCTCCAATTATCCAGTATTTAATATGAGGGAGCCTCAAATCCAGGATTGGGACGGGAATCTGTCAGTTGTTTTACCGTTGCGGTAGATGGGAGTTTTGCTGTGTGTGTTTGTGGTGCAGTCAGGGAGCTGGTTATGAGTTGAAAAGATAGGAAGATTCTGCTTGTCACTAAGTGTAAAAAAAAATATATATATGCCTCAAATCTGAAAATAACAAGTATCTTTGGTTGGTAGGACTGAGAGAACAGAATCACAGAAAGGCTGCGGTTGGAAGAGACCTCTGGAGGTTATCTGGAGGTGAACCCCCCTACTCAAGCATGACCGCCAACGGCCAGTCCCCTATGGCCATGTGGGAAAGGTCTGGCAGTAGACTGGGCTACACAAATAGCGTGTAGTCAAATTTACTGTGGGCTTAAGTCAGTCAGGCTGTCTTATATTTGCTACAGGACCTATGTGTGTGTTTGAAGCGACAGTAATTCAGAGGATGTGTCTGCAATACCATGGGAAGATGATTGAGAGTTTAACTGTAGTTTTCCAGCAAAGGCCAGCTTTGCTCATGGCAGAGAAAATGGATATTTTTAAAAAATAGTTTGTGTCGTTCTTGTAAACTTCACTAGAGGAAGGAATAGATCTCTTTGAGCTTGGAGGAAGTTGCAAATACAGAGAAAGACCACGTGCAAGGATAATAAGAAGATATGCCACTTGTAAGTGGAGTAAACAAAAGGGTACTGCTGGCAAATTGGGAAGTGGTGCTTGTCTGTGTGATAATTTCATCATTTTTATCCCAGTCATGAATGGCTATATTTCACTACTCCTGGAGATTTTTCTGGAGAAGTTTTGTGCCTTATTTCTCTTTAGCTCCATCAGCTGTGTCGAAGGAAGAGTATAAGTCACTGAGTATTTAATATTGCAGAAATGGACAAGAGGGTGTCCAGGTATTTTTTGCTGTAAGGTTTATATGGAAGAGTTAAACTTTAGAAACTGCTGTTATAAAAAGATTAAGAAAAAAGGTATTCTTATTCTATTTTGAAAAATATTTTTATGTTCTTTTATGCTGTTGACGTCTTTTAATTCTCTAAGTTTTCATAAGTTTTTAGGATTCTAAAAAATAATCTGAAATGCCATGTAATTAGGATGAATTTTTTTACTTTTGTTAAGTATGTGATATTTGTGATATATCAAGAGCAAAAAATATTTTTATGTTCTTTTATGCTGTTGACGTCTTTTAATTCTCTAAGTTTTCATAAGTTTTTAGGATTCTAAAAAATAATCTGAAATGCCATGTAATTAGGATGAATTTTTTTACTTTTGTTAAAACTGTTAATGTGATATTTGGTAGAAAATATGACTTTTGCTATCACTAAATATATGCCTTTAATAACTTTGTGTTGCTCGATAAGCCTCAAGTGAAAAGAGTTTGGAAATCTTGAGTTGTTTAGATTGGAAAGACCACTAAACCATGTCCCTAAGCACCTTATCTACACATCTTTTAAATACCTCCAGGGATGATGACTCAACCGCTTCCCTGGGCAGCCTGTTCCAGTGCTGAAAGTGAAGAAATTTCCAGTGAAGAAATTTTTCCTAATATCCAATCTAAACCTCCCTTGGTACCACTTGAGGCCCTTTCTTCTTGCCCTGTCACTTGTTACTTGGTTGAACAGACTGATCCCAACCTCCTTTCAGGTGATTGTAGAGAGTGATAAGGTCTTCCCTGAGCTTCCTTTTCTCCCAGCTGAACAAGCCCGGTTCTCTTAGCTGCTCCTCATAAGACTTGTGCTCTTGACCCTTCACCAGCTTCATTGCTCTTCTTTGGGCACACTCCAGCACCAAAATGGTTTTCTTGGAGTGAGGGGTGCAAAACTGAGCACAGGATTTGAGCTGTACCCTCACCAGTGCCCAACACCGGGGACCGATGGCTTCCCTACTCATGCTGGCCACACTGTTTCTGATTCAGGCCAGGATGCCTTCTTGGCCACCTAAGCACACTGCGGGCTCGTGTCCAGCTGGCTGTCTACCAACACCCCCAGATCTTTTTCCACCAGGCAGCTTTCCAGCCCTGCATCCCCAAGTCTGTAGCGTTGCATGGGGCTGTTGTGTGCCAGGTGTAGGACCTGGCACTTGGCCTTGTTGAACCTCCTACAACTGAACTTGACCCATTGATCCCGCCTGTCCAGGATCCTCTGCAGAGTCTTCCTACCATCAAGCAGATCAACACTCCCTCCCAGCTTTGGTTGTTCACAGACTTGCTGAGGGTGCACGCGATGCTCTCATCCAGGTCATTGATAAAGATACTAAACAGAACTGACTCCAACACTGAGCCCTGAGGAACGCTACTTGTGTGACTGGACCAACGAGCACGTAATTTTTGGAAAGTAACATCTTAAAAACGTGTTTTTTTTTTTTTTCTAATGATATTGCTCTGAAGTCTTCACCGTAGATGTGCAAAGGCAGACTGAGACCTGGAGAAACACATATCTAATAACACCTAAAACCAAGAGCAAATATTGATGTTAGTGTTAAGTAGAGTCTATCAATGTTAAACGTCTCTCATGGGCAGTGAATTGAGTTCATATACTATTACAAAAGGATGGTTTCAGTTAACCTATCGGAGACTTGAATTTGTTGATCTAAACCCCCAAGAATTTCCTATTTAAAGTATCAGCAGTTGTGCTTACTGTGCAGTGGTACATGTTTTGGGACCTGTCAAGAAGAAAGGTGTAAAATGTTTTAACTGTGATGTTCCTTTTGTGAGGAAACTGGATTTAACCCTAACAGTGACATTTTAATAAATTTTTATAGTTTTTATTCCCTCCTAAAGCAATATTTGTATTGTAATGGGCATTCAAGTTATTAGGTGACTTACGACCTGACAGTAGAACGGAGAGGTGTAGGTGGGTTTGGAGAACTAATCAGATGCAACTATTTCACAGTTATGTACTTAATGTTCAGCATCAATTCAGGTTATTTTGCTTCAAGGGAGGAAGAGCCATATCTGTAACATTGATTCTGATTTTTCATTTTAACTGCTGTCTGTGAACATGCTGCAGTGTGGGAAGTTGTCAGTTGTAACGCAAATATTTTTTGCTGTTGGAAACTATGTGTTATACAGCTGTTACGAAATGGCCAGGTTGAATACAGTCTTCCTGTCTTCTGTATCCTTCCAGAGAGATAAAATATCATTACAAATAGTGTGCTCTGAATTGATTTTATGCCTATTATGAGAGCTGCTCATGTGATGAGAATGCCTTCTGACAAACTGACATGTTTTGATAGGTGCTGAGGTAATTGTACAGATTTTTTTAATTAAGCAAAAATTGCAAGTGGTGTATTCTACAGAAGGTTAATCCCAATATCAAAGTTTAAATGTTAGTTTAGGCATTGCTAAACATGACCAATCTCTTCTCTCATGCATTTTTTGAAGTGTGATGTGAATTGGATGCTGAGGCTGGGCAGCTGTATTAGGGGAATGTAAAGTAACTCGTTGCCTGGCAGCTTGCAGGAAACATGTCTAAATATTTATTTCTGTGGATCTTTAAAGGAATGAGCTAACAAGCAGCTCTTACTGTATGTTTTCTTTTACATTTTAATGTCTATTATGTGAGGAATGCCTAATTATTTTAGAATACTCAAACAAGGAATTACTACTTCAGTACTCCACTTTTTGTTTTTCTTAGACACTTAGTATTTGACAGCTATCAACAGCTTAGCCAACTGTCAATAATCAATTATTCCTATAAGTAGGCTTATTTATTCATTCATACAGAAGTTTCTTTGGTTAATTATATATTAATTGTGAGAAGTTGACATCTATCTTTTGAGACCTTAAGAAATAATAGCTATAATTATTCCTTTATATGTTCACAATACTTAGTTAAATGACTAGTGAATCATTTGAGTTTTAAATCTGACGGGGCTGCATTTTTTCTGAACGTTTTTATATTTACTTTCTTGTGATTGTATGTGATATATATTTGTCAATATATATATGTAACTTTGCATGACAGTGTTAAAGCTGTTATCGTAGCATTTTTCCTTTGACATGCCATGAACGTTGACATGCGTGCTAATTAAATTTTCCATCAACTCTAAGTGTCCTGAAGTTAGAAATATATAAAGATGACTTTGTTGAATGAAATATAGCTACCCAAGGGGCACAAACAGCTTTCTGAGAGCATATTGTTAAAATCCACAGCAATTTAAAACCAGAAACTGATTATAGGAAGAGTAAACATAGGGAGGTAATTGTGTGCAGAGCAAGTCACTATTACTAGGTTTATCAACTAGGAGGAGGTAGAAAACAAGCTTAAACACTCTTGTGTGGCATATGTCTGTTGAATTTGATAGGTTTGAAGTGTGTGTGGAAAGTTAAGACTTCACCTATTTTGCCGATGGGTTGAAACTTAAATATGTGCTCAGTGTGAAGTGTATACTCAGGTTATAGTCGGACTTTATACACGTTAGAAACTTTTACAAAATCCTTGGTCTTCACAAAACTGTGTTATGTGTTTTTATAGCTACTACAGTGCTTTTACAGAAAGATAGCTGTGACTGCAGTCACAGTTTTCAAAGGTGATGATGAGGTGTTTAATAGTAAATGAAATTATTTTACAGGATACTAAATTTTGCCAGCATGTAAATCTTCCTTTAATGTCCTGCAGCCTAGTTAGCTGTCTTTGGTGCCCTCTAGTGTTCTTTTTGCATGCACAAACCATAGGTAAAGAGATTTTAAAGGCCTGCTGCCGTATTTGCTTGTTTAGTTTTTTCTTTATCAGTCTTCATCCCTTTTTTTCCATATGAATGTTAAAAATGCAAAAGAAATATCCATTAACCTTTATCACATCGAGTCATTTGCTTCTATCACAATGTAGACTCAGGTATGAGAAAACTTCTTGTGTGATGGTGAGATCTTTTATCTTAGAATTTCCTCTGAAGTCTTTTTGAATTTGCAGTCCTAATAATCAAGTCTCTGTGATTTCATTTTTCTCCTTTAAAGATTGGTTTTGTTACTCTTCTGACTTATTTTGGTAAAAAAGGAGATCGAAAGAGTTAATCCTGTAGGGCTACAGGGTATTGGCAATGTTTTACTTGTGCTTTACATTCTAAAGTTTTTCAGAGGTTCTGTAGTTTATTATCGTTTCTGTAGCATTTCAAGTGATCAGTATTAGAGTTTTCATTTGTGTGCTCTTTCTGTTGCAGTATAATGGTGTATCAGAACCTCCCGTCACATACAAGTTTGGTGCTTATTACTTCTACACAAGAGTACAGCAGACAGTTTAATTCCAGAGTTAACTGTTTTTGTTGCTTGATTCTTGGAGCTGTTTTCATAAACAGTGTGAGAACATGACACTTCAGCTTTAATACTTTGTATTTTTTTCCTGGTTAAAATTTGAGATTTTGTTTGTTTTTATTTAATCAGTGAGTTTACCTTTTTTAACAACAGATCAGAAATTCTACATTGGTATTTACAAACTGTAAAGCATGAATCACAATTTGTATGAAAGAATCACTTTCATCTCTCATGTAAATGTGCACTTACATAATTTGGATCCACTGGATATTTTTATAAAGTTACTTTTTCAGATCCAGTGTAGCCTGCTGCATTAGATAAATGTCATATTTTTGAGAAATACTGGAATAGTAGTTCTGGAAGCAATCTGCCTTACCCACAAAATTAGTTATTCTGGGACATGCACAGGCCCTAAAAATGTTTTATAGTGCTCTCTCAGTACATCATTCCTGATTTAGGGAAAACACTATTGATCAAAATTGTCCTGTGCTTCCCTTTTTGGGACAACTGTTCTGTTGGTGCTGAGGTGGACTTTTGTGATCCTTAGTCTTCCACGTACTAGATGGTAACGGTTCTCTTTTCTGAGGGACAATAGTAAGATAAAGGCTTTTGACGCTCTTAGACTGGGAAATGAGATGCTATTCTTTGCAACAAATCCAGATCCTTGATTTGAATGAAGAAATATATATATTTTTTTAAAAATGAAGCAACAGATATGAATGTGGTCACTTAGGACTCCGTACTTGTTCCTGTTGTTAGATACCACTTTTTTCACTAACTTCTAGAACAAAACTTTTAAGCTTCAGGAAAATGTTTGATTTCCAATTTCGGTTTTAGTAAGTTTAGGATCATATACACTACAAGTGGATATTTATATTAGTCAAGCAAATCTGTACATCAGATATAACTGTGCCTTAAGCTTGGAGATTTGCCTGCGTGTATGTTAGAGATACCACATTTGCAATGCTTGGGGGGAGAAACAGCAGGATGTTGTGAGTCAGTTTTGCATTTTGTTGCAGTGCTGAAAGAAGCACTCAGAAATAATAATTGTTCTGGCACTTTAAAAATGTAATGCGAAAAGACACTTTTTGACTTTACTTACTGACTTACCCTTATTAGAAAGCAAAAAATTTAACTTGTAGAAAACACTGGGGTTAGCAAGATCGTTGCGGGGGTTGGAGAGGGAGTAAAGAAAATTAAAGTTGCCACCAGGTGGAGCAGTACCAAAATGTTCTCCTTTTTACTGGCACAGTCCTCTGGTGCTGTAGCTGTGAACTACCTGTACCTTTGGGAATATCATACATTTTTTTAAGGGTAGAGTATGAAATACAGTGGTTTAGAATGCAACGAAAAACCCAGAAAGAATGCAAATGAAGAACTTCTGTGTTTTCACAAATTAGGATCTGGAAAATAAAAATTCGTTTGATGTTTGAAATTTTAATCACAGATTTAGGTCTGTATCCTGATTTCAGTATGTTTTGCTGTTAGCCAGACTCTCTGAATCAAAATTAGATCTTTTTTTGTGTCTCTTCTTTGAGATGTAATAAAATGATATTTGGGAGCTGGCGTACTGGCATTGCTACTAACTGTATCTGCATAGACCAACTGTTAGAGAAGCGGGTACTCAGGCAATGTAGGTGGCTCGGGCGTGTCTGTCTGCACTAGAGATTAGTTATCTGCTGCTTCAGAGAATAACGGGAAAGGAAAGGAACAAATTCAGTAAAAAAATAAGAAGTGTCCCACCTTGTAGGGGCTTGAAGCTTAGGTGGAAATTTTCGTGGGTGAAGTCTTGTTTTAATGTTAGATAAAACAAGAAGCATGTTATTTGTATTAGGCAGATGAAAAATGAAAGTGTTGTATGAGACTTTCCAAGCCGTGAAGCTACAATATTTTGCCAACCAGGGATAGAATCCATTTGTAGATGAATTAGAGTGAAGTTTTGACACAACAGAGGAAATGCATGAATATATGGTTATATGGTTATAAAACTTGTGAAAGTAGCATTTCTATTTAAAATTTAAAAATCTGTTATAGAATGACTTCACAGTGATGGATATTAACTTCTTTCATTTTCTTTTCCCTTGGTAATAGATTCTACTTGTGTAGAAAATGTATATAATCTGTTGCATTATTCCTGAAATGCTATGATGTCATGTACATAATCTATATCAGATTTTGGAAATCAGTGGGATTTCCCATTATTGTTTTCAAATACTGATATTCCATGTGAATTTATTAACTGGATTTCTATTAGTTCTCTCTTCCTGGCCCATTATTGCCATTGATTTAAAATGCTGCCTTGTCTCTTAATGATACTAGCTCCCCTGCCTACTTAGTGGTTAAGTATGTGCTCTGCAGATGTTTTTCTACATTGTATCAAGAAGTTATTTTGCTCACTTTTGTGACAGAGGTTTTTAAAGAGAACTAAATACTTGAAATAAGCTGAGCTGGTTTTCTGTTTTGAAGGTGGACTTCCAAAACTATTTCGGAGGATGTTTTAACAGCTACCTTCAGTGGGAGTCTGCTTGATAATAGTCTATTGCAAAACAACCAAATCACTTCCTACAAATTGTGGTACAAATTTTGGAACCCTGGGTAGCATAGTGGGTCGGTGGACGGTGATGTGAAGTGGGTGTATGTACCACATTTCCCTTATACTCACCCTATCATATGTCTGTGAAAAAGAAGAAAGTTTTTGTTTTTTCTTTAAATGCAACATTTTTTATTTTGTGCTTTCTTTTAAAGTTTTAAACCTGGAAATCTAGCAGTATATTTAGGTCACTTGAAGATATAAAAGTGATGAATAGGCATATAAATGATAGTGTCTTAACTTTTTTTGTTTGTTTGTTTTTTAATGATCTGATGCATTCTGGCAAATATTTCTCCACAGGATGAAGATGAGTTGGACTCCCATACCATGGTGAAGACCAGTTCAGAGAGTGCTGGTACCATGAGGGCCACAAGCACAATGAGTGAAGGTGCTCAGACAATGATTGAACACAACAGTACTATGCTAGAATCAGACTTGGGGACCATGGTAATAAATAGCGATGACGATGAAGAAGAAGATGGGACCATGAAAAGTATGTTGTTAATTTACTTTCCTTTTGTTCTAATAATGTAATGTGTTTTCTCATACTGCATGACCACATTGTGTCAGGGGCTTTTAAGTGTCAAGTTCTGTGGTTAAAACGGGGAGAAGGATATTTGTGTTTCTAAGTACTCTGTATATTTTGTGGAGAAAAAGGTGGCTATAGTGGGAGATACAAAGCAGAAGCCTGGTTTTGGTGCTCTGCTCTAAAATTAGGCCTCTGTGAATTTTTCCTTCTACTGCTTGTCTCTTGCTTTTTTGCCTCCTGTTCTGCACACGTTTGGACTGGTTCCTTGGAACTAAACTGAATTGATGTGATGATGTAAGAAGCTACTGCTTCAGTGTCAGTGGTCCTGGGAACTCCCCGTGACTCTCTGGGTTCAGCAACCATACACATATTGCTGCAGAATTATTCTGGAACTCATGATCAATTAACAGTTTTTTATTTTGTTAGTTTTTATTTGAGTGAGTTGTCAGAGTGTAATGCAGTAATGCTTGGTTTAAGGTGATGAAAAGATTGTTGAAACCTAAGTAAAAAGTCCAAATTTACTTCAGCAGCCTGTGAAGAGAGTATGTTACAGAGGAAAAAAATAAATTATTTAAAGTGTAAAATCATAAATTAACCCGAAATATGCCTAAATACATGTTTGTTAAATAGTTAACTGGTATACTTAGATGGTGATGTGCTGATTATTTGGCTGCAGACTTCTGCAGAATAAGGCCCACTGAATGTAACAGAATTATTTGCCTGAGTGGGCAGCATCAGTAGGTGAATCCAACTCGAGCTGTAGGTGCCTGATTTCATGAGGCAGAACGTAATGTTTAACTCCAGGCAATTGTTTGGGGCGAGGTGTTAGTATATTAAAGCTAATGTTTCAGGAGAGGAAACTGGTGCTAAATCAATAACTTTATAGCAAACATAAATTTACATTTGTGGTCACACATATACACCTGATGTAATTGGTACAAAATTAGTTGAAGGCACAAATGTTTTCTTTGTCGTTTAATGTACAGCAAATTGGAAAGAATGAGTTTTGTTGATTTTTCTCTTCTCCATGTCCTATTTGTTTACCTTGTTGCTGGAGACATTGTTTTTGAAGTGTACTGTTATTTTCAATTTTTCATTTATTACAGAAGTAATCTGTAGTTAGAAAGGGAATTACCTTTCTTCACCTTGGCATTTAGTCAGTATGATTCTTCAACATGTTCTTCCTTCTTGTCAAAAAAGAATATATTATCTTTAGGACAGCAGGTTTCTTTCCCCTCCCTCCCCCCATTGGTGACTCTCTTGAGACCTGTAACCCCAGCGAAGCAAAGCCAGCAAACCTGAGGTAGCCTGATGGCAAATGATCATTTCTTCCTTCAGCTGGCAGGCAACAGGTTTGGTTCCAGCACTTACTCACTGAACTTTCTTGTATTTTCCATTAGAGACTCATTGATTAAAAACTAGAGATAATTCAAGAATAGGACCTCCACATCTCTCAGCTGAAAATAAAAAATGTCCATCATAGCTGGTCCTCCTCTGCTTCTGTGATTCATGTGCTATTGGCTGAGACAGGAGCAACAGCAAGTGTCCTAAATAAATGTCACCAGGAAGGGACGCACAAATCTTTGCTTTCCCGAAGGGGCAAACACAGATCTTTTGCTTCTTTGTGCTTGTCATTGGTTAGGGCTGGGCTGGCCACTAAAACACAGACTAACCTCCTTTTCCCCCCAAAAACAGGAATGAAAAGGGAATGAGACAGAGAGACTTTACAGGTTAGAAAAAAAAAAACAGCTTTAATGAAACAATAATGGAAATAATAGTGAAATGTTAAAAATAAAGAACTATATACAAGCCTGATATCAAACCTGACTCACCCCCGAGGGCAATCCCCCTGATGTTGCAGAGCTGGGAGCACCAGGGAAGCCCGAGGCTCAGCGGCGGCAGGAGCTGGATTCAGGAACTCAGGATGCGGATCAAAAGCAGGAGATTGGGTGGAGTCCTGCCGGGAAGCCGGCCATTGCAGAAAGAGAAAGAGAATAAAACTCTCGTGATCACTCAGTTTGTACTAAATATGACATATATGGGATGGAATACTCTTGTTGGTCACCCGTCCTGTCTATTACCCCCCAGAGGTGCAACCTTTTACTTCCTTGTGACCCCTCTTACTACCCGGCACCCCCAGCGTGGCACACAAGAGCCAGCAGTGGCCTTGGTCACTACAGGAATAAGTGTCAGCAAGAGCCTTTCTGCCTCCAAGTCCCAGGCAGTAACTGTAAACATCAGGTGTTACCACTGCCAGTAGCACACACTGTCTGCAAAAACCATGCTGCTGACTTCAGAACGTGCAGCCTCTTGAGAAGAGGCTGAAGTGGAAAGTAAAAATCACTAAACAGAATTATTTTTGTTTAGCTCAAACCAGGACAGTGCTTGACAGAGACACAAGATTTTGGAGATTGATTGCTTTTTCCAGTATACCTTCACAGGCAAGGTGAGAGCTTTCTAGATGTTTGATTGTCAGAACAAGTCGTTTAAAAGAGCTCTTTTGATACTTCTGAATAGTAGAACACTGCAAGGAAGAAGCTTTGAGAAATAGACTTAGTGAACTAGGGAGGAGGGATTTCATTTCCTTCCTAGAGACACTGAATATTTCTGTCAAACTTTTTTTTAATTGCTCTTGTGTTTAGTTTCACATTTTGTTTCTTTCTGCCTTTTGTTTCCCTGCTCAAGGACAAAATAAGAAACAATAATAAGTTTTTATTTTTAAGTGCCCATGCTTAGAGGCCTCTGGGAGCCATGACAGAAAATAATTAAAACCATATTTTTTTCACAAATAGGGAATTGTGCCCAGATAAAATTGGGATTTGGAACAAATGGAGGCCTGTCATCCTACCCCAAAATACAATATACAGCCTAGCAATAAACAACGGTTATGCCTTCTTTCTTAGTATGCCTGTGAATGCTCAGAGCAAAGACTGTGGTACGTACCTGGAAGAAGAGAAGAATGCAGAGAGATGGGAGGACAGAGCTTGACTTTAGGAGGTTTAACATGGAGTGCAAGAAAGAGTAGGATCAATGGTAGTGCTACTTTTGTTCAGCTGCCTGGCTTGTATTTATTTTTATGTAGAAGCATTTTTATATCTCAATTCAGAGACCTGTGTTCGGACCAGCTTCCCTGCATTCCCTTTGTGGCTTTTCAGCAAGGCTTAGTGTTAGGACTTTCTGATGCACCAACAGTATTTCTGGTGTTCTCCGTTCTCCTTTTCCTTTACACTCACCCCCCTCCCTCTTTTTTTTTTCCTGTTACATTTATGTTTCTGTCTGCTTTGGGCTGGCAAAGAAGTTGCCCCTTCTTGCCATCTGGACTTATTTTGGGTTTCTAACTGTTGCTTCAAACTTCAGTGATGCTTCTAGATAGTTCATTGTTAGTAGTATATGTATTAAAAGAAGAGGGCAGTGAATTAATGAGGTGGCATTTGACAGAATATAGAAAAGTTGTAAGGTTTTTGTTTTATTACTCTTTTTGCCCTATAAGACATGAAATGTTTAAGGTTCAGTCAGTATAATTCTTAAACACATTCTTCTTTCTTATCAAATAGAACAATGTAATCTTTGGGACAGCAGGTTTCCTTCCCCTCTCTTCTCCCCCATAGTGGTTGTCTTAAGACCTGTAACACCAGTGCAGGAGAGGCAGCCAGCTGGAGGAGGTAGCCTGGTGGCAAGTGATAGTTTCATCCTTCAGCCGAGAGGTTTGGTTCCAGCACTTACACACTGAACTTCCTTCTGTTACTGTATTACGGGTTCCTTAATTTCAGCAGAACACACACCCCACTGTAGAACCTACATTTCGAAAGAATTCATGAATTTGGCTTATTTATTTATTATTTTTCAGTGATTTCAGTACATGCAATGTAAGAAATTGTGCTGCACTCTTAGTCAGTCTCCTCTGTGATAGGCAGTGGATGCTTGGGTAGCTCTGGAGTGATGCTTCAGAACTCTCAGAACCACAGCTGGTTTTTGAACTGAAAGGCAAGAGCTTTTGGTATGTATTTTATAACAACTTATGACCCAGATCCTATAGGAATTCAGAAAGGAGGCTTAATTATGGGCTGATTTCAGTGATGCTGTAGCCTGCACACTGATATTTCATAGATGTAGTTTTTTTCCAGCATATTTACTGTGCCTACACTAAGATAGTTTGCCTGATGCCATGTGCAGGTGTACTAGTGCTTTACACCTATATATACAGGAAGATATGATAGATGTTTCCAAGCCTATACCAGTCCTCGAACCCTCTCCTGTGATTGGTAATAAAGTTGTTCGTTTATGCCACTAGCAGTAGTATCTTTTCTGAATGGGATTTTATTTATTTTTTTTTCACGAATAACATCATGTTGGCAATTCTACTTCAAGAGGCTGACTTAGCATGGATTTTCTTTGTTTTGCTGAAAGGAGAAATAAAGCCCAACTCAGCTGAAATGGACTAATGGGTTTGTAATAGTAGTGTCATTGGATATTTTTGCCTTTTCTCCAAAAGATGGGAAAACAGAACAAAAGTTACTAAACCAGTTTACAAGTCTCATTCTCAGGAAGCAAAGCAGCGTTTTGGTCAGGAAACTCTTTTCCTCATTAAAAATTATTTTAACTTGAGTTTATAGTCTTTCAAAAAGTCTGTGAAGGCTTCAGCTGCCATTATTTCTGATAAGTAGTCGTAAAGCAAACAAACAAATACTGAATGAGGCCTGAGTTTGAATGAAGACTTGGATGCGCAAGCCGCTGTGATGTAAAAACTGCAAACTCCTTGATGACTTTGTCATGCAGCTCTCTGTAGTCAAAACATGTCGTGGATACATCTTTTGTTAAACTCCCAGCTGCTCTGGCCTAAGGGATGTGGATTCTGCTTCCTCTTGATTCAGAAACGAAGTAGACTGACTTCTGATTCTCTGAGGTCGTTGTCTAATAGGCACCCATTAGCAGAAAAACTCGCCCACTCCTGAAAATCAGTCACAATTTCTGCTTAAGATAAGGCTAAAGGAGGTGGCTGTGGCAACTTTAAACATGGTAGTTCACTGTCAGGTGTGTTTGCATGGCGCATTAGCAGATGTCATCATACGTCATTTTCAATGAAATAGTAACTAAATTTGTTTGTGTTAGTTTAGTTAGAGATCTAAAAATAGAGTCTCTTTTTCATTTAATTATCTGTAAAAATAAAATCTTGTAAGTCTTTAAATAAATCCTTCAAAAAGCCCCCTCATTTTGCAACCAGACAATTTCTGGGTTTGTGTATGAGTTTTTCTATTTGCAGTGAAGGTTAGCAGCTCTTGTTCTTTCAAATGAGTTAACTAACTGTATACTAAATTGCAATCAGAAGTAAGTTCTAAATTCTTATTTATCAAAGCAAATAGAACAAGTCCTCAAAAAGTAAAAATAAATGTACTCTGCTCATTTTGGAGTAATTTCAGTCCTGTTGACCCACTTTCCTCAATATACATTTGATAGCAAGGAATTTTGAGGGGTTGGTTTGTTTTTTGTTACATGTATAAGATATTTATAAATAGCTCTAAAACTTAAGAGCAATGCCTGGAAAATATTTAGTATTTTCTGTTACATGAGAGGACAGAGACCACCTTACCTCTAATGGGCCAACTTAGAGTTTCTGACAGAGACACTCGTAATTTTCTTGTTTATAAGTATGTCTCAGGGATGAAACATAAGTACAAACATCTCAGCAGAAGAAAAAGATTGATTGTGAAGGGTCAGCAATGGGGAGTTTAGTTCAATGAATGTTTTCTTGTGGTCTTGGTTGTCATTAATTAAAAGATGGTGAGTAGAGATATCTATGATCTGGGATTAGAAAAGAAGATTAGAAAAAAAATTAGAATAAAGAAAACAACAGGGAGAAAAAGAGAGAAGTAGAAAGTGTGTATGAAAACATGTCAGACGGAAGGGAGAAGTCACTGTGGTGTTGAAAAGAAGCAACTGGAGCCAAGTGCAGTAAAGCCTAGAGCAAGACAGTAGAATGCATTAAAAAATTCAAAAGAAAATGCAGAAAAGAATAATGTAGAAAAAGGAGAAAGAACAAGTAAATCCACATGCTGTGAGAGCTAGCAGTACAAAAATAAGAATTAATGAAAAAATAGGCCCCTATTAATCATGCGGCAAAATTCGAATGAATTAAAATCTTTAGATAGAGGGAGTGTGAAGAAATGGTGAAATAAGAGGTCAAAGAGGAGAGGAAAAAAAGCCACTTAGTGAATTAATAAAAACAAAAGTAAGGCCAGATAAGAAGTTCAGCAAGTCCACATTAACACGTTAAACACAAATTCTAAAGGTGTTTCCAGTGGTTTACCTTTTTCCTTGTTAAAACAATAGTTCAATTTAAAATTCCAAATTATTTTATTATATTTATAATTAAAAAGTATAGTTCTACGTGTGGGTCAGTTTTGGGGCTTTTTTCCAGCTTGGTTATTTGTATCTTTCATCCTGTTTCATGCATTGCTCTTGGAAATGTATTTGATAAATAGCAAGTACACATTTCATGAGTCAGTACTCTGCAGAATGTAGTTTCTGGGTGACAGTTATATAGAACTACTAAAGCATTTCTTATGTTTTGTTTATTGTTCTATTTAGTAACAAATTTGCTTTGAAATCCCACAAATGAAAACAAATTTGAGTCAGTTAAGGTTGTAGATTTATTTTTATTTTCTGTTTTTACAATTAGTTTTGTGAAAAGGGTAATAGAATGGGAGCTCATTCTGGTCTCTGCTCAGCTTCATAAAGCTTTTGCAGCTGCATAGATGATGCCAAAATTCCTCAGGGTTTCTACACAGTGGAGACAGGGTGCTTTGCAGCCTTCTGTAGAGTGTGATCCCGTAATTTTGTGAGAATCCTCATTGACAGTGAACTTAATTAAGCAGTATCTAGGCGCAGTTTGTGCAGTTATTTTTTGCAAGTTCGTTTTCTAAATACTTTTTAAATTGCACCGTTGGTGAAGCTGATGGGAACTCTCTTGCTTTCATACAAGCACCTGTGGACCAGGCCTTGACGTTAAGGGCATTCAGTACCCGAAGGGATGCTTAGCACCTTGTGTTATTCAGTTTCCATAACAACAAATAGATATCACATGAAGTAACTTCTAATATTATTTGTGCGTGCGACTCTGAAATGTCTTGAACATTTCTCCACATTGTATCTTGCTACAAAAATATCATTCTTCGGCTATGAGCTTTTATGCCAAAGATCCTCGGGGGACAAGTGGAGGCTTGTGCTATGTACAACTGACTGCATTAGTTTCTGTAAAATCCAAGAAAATTAATAAATTGAGTTTATTTTATAGTGCAGTAAATCTTTAATCTTTAAATAGTTTTAAATTTTTTTCTTCATTTTTTCTTTCAACTAAGGAAATGCTACTTCACCGCAAGTTCAAAGACCTTCTTTCATGGACTACTTTGATAAACAAGATTCCAAGAATAAAAGCCCTGAAAACTGTAATCAGAACATGCATGAACCTTACCACATATCCAAAAATGTTTTCCCTGATAACTGGAAAGTCCCTCAAGATGGAGACTTTGATTTTGTAAGTACGTTTTTATTATTTACTTTCTTGCGTGCTGTTTATTTTACATGTCCCAAAAGTAGTTAATCCCTTTATATATGTAAATGCAAGAACACCATCCCATTACCTAGTTTTAATGCCTCATCCTGTTTGAAATCAAGTACATTTGCTTAATGCAGGGCCTTTTTAATGAAAAGTGGTATGTGACAATATGAATATACTTCTTTGTAACTACTTTTTAATGAAAAAGCATTATTGGTTCTTTATAACTTAGGTGTTATAAGAACTTTAAAATTTGACACAGTTTTATTTTTAAGTAAATTAATAAATCAATCACTACGGGCATGCAATATTGTTGTCGTGTTTGCTGAGTATCTCAGTAAAATAATAAGTGCTTTAAACTAGATTGGAGCCAATTAATCTCCTTGGAGATGGTTAAAATCACCTACTGTTTTGCACAAGCCAGCTTGTTGCTACTATTCCAGTAATGCACATCGCTCTACATAGAATTATTCTATCTAAGACCCATTTGTCTATTTTAAGGTGGGATTTTTCCCCCTCCAAAATATATGTAGTTTATTTCTTTTCACCTGTGTTGCAAATTATAACAGGGACAAAAAGAATATGTTCCTAATTTATAGGTTGCTCTTAAAGTGAAATAAAAGATTACTATTTAGAGATAATTATAGCTGTTTTTCACTTTTGTTACTTTTTAAACCTGTTTAAATGAAAGAATTTAGTTATCTGTTGTAGATTAAACATGTTCTTAACTGCAGTGCAGTAGCTAAATATGATCACATGGCATCTTTTTGAAAGTATACTTTGGATTTGGAGAAAAATGTTATGTTTAACTTTAGGTGACAGCTGTAGGTGTGGGATTTTTTTTCCCAGTTTTCACTTACTGCATTTCTACATAAAGCTGACTCTTAAATTTAAGCTACTGGAGTAAAGCCAGTTAAAGAGCACAGTACAAGCTGTTGCTGCTAGGGAGTTTTGATAAAGTGGGATTTTGGTTTGGGTGGGGTGTTTTTAGGCTTTTTTTTTTTTACCAAAAAATCTAATAGTCATCATCCTGATAATTGATAGACAAAAAAAATTATTTGTACTATTCATTGGAAAGACAACTACCCATTATTTAAGTGGGGTTATTATAGTGGCAATGAAATTGACTTTAGAAAAATTTAAAATTCATCCTATCTTTCCCATTACTGCATAAGAAATGCAAGCAAAAATGATTCTTTTTGTAAATGCTAAGATCCTGACTGTGTAAGTGCTTATTCATGAATAATTTGCACATGGATAATCCTGTGGAAGATGTAGACATTGCTTGTACATAAGAAGTTGCCTCGTTGAAACAGCAATTTGTCGTAGAACCAAACCTGAGAAGTTCTGATCTTCATAATCTTAACTGCTCTGTGTGTCGTAGGCAAACCTTGCTAATGGTCTTAGACTGGCAAGTCAAAGACTTAAAAATCCTAGAAACAGAATGGTTTGACTTGGAAGGATCCCTCAAAGGTCATCTAGTCCAGCTTCCCTGCCATGGGTAGGGACATCTTTCACCAGTTGCTCAAAGCCCTCTCCATCCTGATCTTGAACGCTTCCAATGATGGGGCATCTACTCCTTGTTTGGACAACCTGTTCCAGTTACATGATATTTGCTGGTGACACCAAACTCTGTGGAGCTGTTGACACGCTGGGGGGAAGGGATGCCATCTAGAGGGACCTTGACAGGCTTGAGACATGGGCCCGTACCAGCCTCATGCAGTTCAACGAGACCAAGTGTAAGATCCTGCACCTGAGTCGAGGCAATCCCAAGCACAAATACAGACTGTGTGGAGAGCAGATTGGGAGCAGCCCTGAGGAGAAAGACTTAGTTGTGTTACTTGACGAGAGGATCAATGTGAGCCAGCAGTGTGCACTTGCAGCCCAAAAAGTGAGTCGTGTCCTGGGCTGCACCAAAAGCAGTGTGACTGGCAGGGTGAGGGAGTTAGTCCTCCCCCTCTGCTCTGCTCTGGTGAGGCCCCACCTGGAGTACTGTGTCCAGTTCTGGAGCCCACAGTACCAAAAGGACGTGGATCTGCTGGAGTGGGCCCAGAGGAGGGCCACGAAGATGATCAGAGGGCTGGAGCACCTCTGCTATGAGGACAGGCTGAAGGAGCTGGGGTTGTTCAGCTTGGAGAAGAGAAGGCTCTGGGGTGACCTAATAGCGGCCTTCCAGTACATGAAAGGGACCTACAGGAAAGCTGGAGAAGGGCTTTTTACAAGGGCCTGTAGTGACAGGGCAAGGGGCAATGGCCTGAAACTGCAAGAGGGTAGATTTAGATTACATATAGGGAAGAAGTTCTTCACCATGAGAGTGGTGAAGCACTGGAAGAGTTGCCCAGGGAGGCTGTGAATGCCTCATCCTTGGAGGTGTTCAAGGCCAGGTGGGATGGGACTTTGAGCGACCTAGTCTAGTGGGAGAGACGTGTCCCTGCCCCCAGCAGGGGAGTTGGAACTAGATGATCTTCAAGGTCCCTTCCAACCTTAACCATTCTATGATTCTATGTGCAGTTGTTCCCTGACTTCCTAAAAAGGCAGTGTTGTGAGGCTTGTTGCTACAAAATGATTTGGATTGAAGACCAAATAAGATTTTAAAAAAGCTGATAGCTATTGACATGGACAGTATATATAGTTGGAGATGGAATTTTGTAGTAAGCATGACAAAAGCCAAATACTTCCATAGATAAGCCCATTTAAGAATTTGTTTAGGAAAACCTCTCCATAATGGAAGTGCTGCTTCAGAGTAGTCCACTCAAGAATATTTTTCTCTGAAGCATCTGGTACCAGCTGAAGTCACACAGGATGTTGGTTTTAACAGCCTGCTGGTTTGAACCATAGGCAACTGTTACTTATTTATATAGTCTGGAAGCACTTTATGTTTTAGGCAGCAAGTGGCAGTATTGGTAAGTGACATGCGAGAGACTTTCTGAAAGGATAAATCTGTGGGCAGCATGCATAATATATTGTCTACTCTTTGTGAGATCAACATCAATGTTTTCAATTGCTGACATGAAGTCTTTAAATGATTCATGAAAGGGATAAATAATGGAAACTTTTTGTGCTAAATAATTCCATTCTATTTGGTTTGGAGTTAACCTTAATTGGACATATAAAGGGTTCCTAACAGTAAACACTGACAGTCAGATTTTATTTGAAGAAGGGATTGATACACTAGATCTAACATAAAAATGATGAAAATCTGACTTAATGCTACTGTATTCTAATAGTACTTCAACTTTGTGTGTAGAAGAGGAGGGATGCTCTGGAGGTTGGAGGTCACCAAACTAATTTGCTGAATGGTACCATTATTCTTTTTTACCCATCTACCCTTGCATGCCAGTGCTGGCAGCGAGCAGATGCTTTACTTGTGAGGTAGGGCAGAATGACAGTGCTGTGCTAAGAAGGGATCTTTGAGTGCATTAAATAGAAAGACTTAAAAAGTTTATTAGTGTATGTGTCTGTTAGAGCATAAACTCGAGAAGTAGAAATGCCACTGAAGTGAGAGGGACGAGGAAAAGAGAAGAAAACCCAACCCTTACAAATCCCTGCAACTAATCATTTTGCTTATTTTCATATATAAGGTGAGACCTGAACAACTGGGAGCTAATTCTTGTGGCCAAATGGTATATTTGCTTTAGGCCGCAGTGATATTTTATCCTATTCCTAGTATATTTTACTATTTGATAAAGCAATGCATAGTTATTTTATTTGTTTAAATGTATAAATACATGTAATGCAGACATAGCAGTCTTACACACTGGCTGCTGTTTCTAGATAATCTAAATATATGATACATGAAACTTTTCTCGGAAGATGAATAAGTGAATGTATAAAATAAGGCAAAATTAGCACTATGTCTGGTTTGAAAGTTTTTGTGTGGGCATAGTTTTCTGCCCTGACGTAAATGTTTTAAAAACTCCTTGCCAATGAAAATAGAAGGAGAAGACTTTTCCAAGAAAATAAGATGCTTTGGTCATCAATCTGAGCATTTAAAAAAAGTAATTTTAGCAATGTTTTTTCTTCTTCAAGTCTGTATTTATGCTTTGTTTTTCACTGTTGAAGTATGTCTGTTTCGAAATTCAAAAGCTGATCTTATTTCTTTTTCACTAATGCCATATGGGAATTTCAGATCCCTCTCTGACTGTTGGTCCTGTGGGCCTTCAGTTCTGTGATCAGTCTGTGCTGGTTATTGATGTAATGTTCCAGGAATTGATGAGAAAAAATTGCCACTGCAGACCTTCACATTGTACTCAATCAGGTAGATTGCAAATAAATTCTAGCTAACCTTGAATATTACATTATTCCAAATTTACCCTGTTACGTACGCTTCAGGACTAAGATGGTTTTCTTCATGCTTAAGAGGTATTTGATGGTTTTATACTACATTTTTACTTCATTTGTAATAATTCAAACAAACAACCCTCAACACTTGAACGTTTTCTGTGACTAGGAACTTATATAGGATTGCTTTTTTGATTTTTGTTTTCAGTTATTTTGTTGTCGTTTTGTTGTTTGTCTTTTTATCAGTGAATCTTAGGGACATTTATTTCTGGGGAAGTACTTCTAAATATTTTGGTTTGTTTAGTTGTTTCTTTTCTACTTCGGCCTTTGAAATCGAAGTGCTGAAGCTCTGATTAGATATAAACCTTACAAAAACAAACTAATGTTTATTCAAACTTCATCTTTTATATGAAAATTTTTATCTGTTTTTCTGACTCAAGGATCATTGTGGATTTTAGTTTTCAGTGAATACTCTCAGGCAATAGGCAATTCTTGTGCACATTTTCATTATTTTTAAGGGGCATGCAGCAGATGGCAAAATTAAAGCAATATTTTTATCCCTAATTCTGTCAGTTTTTCTTGGGTTTAAGTGATGTTTTATTCGCCGCAAACCTTGGTGTCAGAAAGCCTAATCAACAAGATACTACTCACTGTGAGGAAAAGCAGCATGACGTCTCTGAATAAGTAAAGATACAGTAAAGCTATA